CCTCATCCTCATCCTCATCCTCACCCCAAAACTCATTCCAAAACTCATCCCAGTCCAAACCCCCTGGGGCCTCATGTGAGCCTTCATCGTCATCCTCATCATCCTCACCCCAAAACTCATCCCAGTCCAAACCCCCTGGGGCCTCATGTGAGCCTTCCTCATCTTCATCATCCTCGTCCTAAAACTCATCCCTGTCCAAACCCCCTGGGGCCTCATGTGAGCCTTCCTCATCCCCGTCCTCATCATCCTCATCCCAAAAATCATCCCTGTCCAAACCCCCTGGGGCCTCATGTGAGCCTTCCTCATCCTCATCATCCTCATCCCAATCCTCATCCTCATCCCAAAACTCATCCCAAAACTGATCCCAATCCCCTGGGACCTCGTGTGAGCCTTCATCCTGTCATCATCCTCATCCTCATCCCAGTGCTCCCCATTTCCCGAGGCCCTCTTGGATCCCATTGGGCCCAATGATCCCAATGACTCCATTGATCCCGTTGACCCCCATGACCCCACTGACCCCACTGACCCCATTGATCCTATTGATCCCAATGATCCCGTTATTGCATTGATCCCAATGATCCCGTTATTGCATTGATCCCAATGATCCCGTTATTGCATTGATCCCAATGATCCCGTTATTGCATTGATCCCAATGATCCCGTTGATCCCATTATCCCAATGATCCCGTTATTGCATTGATCCCAATGATCCCGTTATTGCATTGATCCCAATGATCCCGTTATTGCATTGATCCCAATGATCCCGTTATTGCATTGATCCCAATGATCCCGTTATTGCATTGATCCCAATGATCCCGTTATTGCATTGATCCCAATGATCCCGTTATTGCATTGATCCCAATGATCCCGTTATTGCATTGATCCCAATGATCCCGTTGATCCCATTGATCCCAATGATCCCGTTGATCCCAGTGACCCCATTCATGTCATTCATCCCATTGACTGCATTGATCCCACTGTTCCCATTGACCCCATTGATCTCATTGATCTCAATGACCCCATTGACTGCATTGATCCCACTGTTCCCATTGACCCCATTGATCTCATTGATCTCAATGACCCCATTGACTGTATTGACACCATTGATCCCACTGACCCCATTGACTGTAAGGATCCAACTCCCACTGATCTCATTGATCCCATTGACCGCACTGATCCCACTGACCTCATTCATCCCAATCATCCCATTGATCCCAGTTAGTCCATTGATCCCAATGATCCCATTGATCCAAATGACCCCATTGATCCCAGTGACCGCATTGATCCCATTGACTGCATTGATCCCAATGACTCCATTGATCCCGATGACCCCATTGAGCCCAATCATCCCATTGATCCCATTGATCCCAATGAACCCATTGATCCCATTGACTCCATTGATCTCAATGACCTCATTCATCCCATTCACCCCATTGACCCCAAGGACCCCATTGACCTCATTCATCCCATTGATCCCACTGACCCCATTGATCCAATGACCCCGTTGATCCCATTGACTCCATTGATCCCAGTGACCCCATTGAGCCCAATCATCCCATTGATCCTGATGATCCCACTGACCCCATTGATCCCATTGACTCCATTGATCCCAATGACCGCATTGACCCCAATCATCCCATTGATCCCAATGACCCCGTTGATCCCATTGACCCCAAGGACCCCATTGACCTCATTCATCCCATTGACCCCATTGACTCCATTGACCCCAACGACCCCATTCATCCCAATCATCCCATTGACCCCACTGACCCCATTGATCCCACGGACCCCTCGCTGACGCCGCTGTCCGCAGCTACCTGGGCCGGAAGCGGCTGGAGCCGGAGCGCTCGGAGCGCGGCGTGCCGGGCGTGCGGCAGCTGCTGCGCCCGGGCTACTCCTACTGGAGCCTGGGCTACGCGCTGTCCCTGCGCGGCGCCCGCAAGCTCCTGGCGGCCGAGCCCCTGGGCAAGATGATCCCGGTGGACGAGTTCCTGCCCCTCATGTTCGACCGGCACCCCAGGTACGGGGTTTTCACCCACTTTTCCCCATTTTCACCCACTTTTCCCCATTTTCACCCACTTTTCCCCATTTTCACCCACTTTTCCCCATTTTCACCCACTTTTCCCCATTTTCACCCACTTTTCCCCATTTTCACCCACTTTTCCCCATTTTCACCCACTTTTCCCCATTTTCACCCACTTTTCCCCATTTTCACCCACTTTTCCCCATTTTCACCCACTTTTCCCCATTTTCACCCACTTTTCCCCATTTTCACCCACTTTTCCCCATTTTCACCCACTTTTCCCCATTTTCACCCACTTTTCCCCATTTTCACCCACTTTTCCCCATTTTCACCCACTTTTCCCCATTTTCACCCACTTTTCCCCATTTTCACCCACTTTTCCCCATTTTCACCCACTTTTCCCCATTTTCACCCACTTTTCCCCATTTTCACCCACTTTTCCCCATTTTCACCCACTTTTCCCCATTTTCACCCACTTTTCCCCATTTTCACCCACTTTTCCCCATTTTCACCCACTTTTCCCCATTTTCACCCACTTTTCCCCATTTTCACCCACTTTTCCCCATTTTCACCCACTTTTCCCCATTTTCACCCACTTTTCCCCATTTTCACCCACTTTTCCCCATTTTCACCCACTTTTCCCCATTTTCACCCACTTTTCCCCATTTTCACCCACTTTTCCCCATTTTCACCCACTTTTCCCCATTTTCACCCACTTTTCCCCATTTTCACCCACTTTTCCCCATTTTCACCCACTTTTCCCCATTTTCACCCACTTTTCCCCATTTTCACCCACTTTTCCCCATTTTCACCCACTTTTCCCCATTTTCACCCACTTTTCCCCATTTTCACCCACTTTTCCCCATTTTCACCCACTTTTCCCCATTTTCACCCACTTTTCCCCATTTTCACCCACTTTTCCCCATTTTCACCCACTTTTCCCCATTTTCACCCACTTTTCCCCATTTTCACCCACTTTTCCCCATTTTCACCCACTTTTCCCCATTTTCACCCACTTTTCCCCATTTTCACCCACTTTTCCCCATTTTCACCCACTTTTCCCCATTTTCACCCACTTTTCCCCATTTTCACCCACTTTTCCCCATTTTCACCCACTTTTCCCCATTTTCACCCACTTTTCCCCATTTTCACCCACTTTTCCCCATTTTCACCCACTTTTCCCCATTTTCACCCACTTTTCCCCATTTTCACCCACTTTTCCCCATTTTCACCCACTTTTCCCCATTTTCACCCACTTTTCCCCATTTTCACCCACTTTTCCCCATTTTCACCCACTTTTCCCCATTTTCACCCACTTTTCCCCATTTTCACCCACTTTTCCCCATTTTCACCCACTTTTCCCCATTTTCACCCACTTTTCCCCATTTTCACCCACTTTTCCCCATTTTCACCCACTTTTCCCCATTTTCACCCACTTTTCCCCATTTTCACCCACTTTTCCCCATTTTCACCCACTTTTCCCCATTTTCACCCACTTTTCCCCATTTTCACCCACTTTTCCCCATTTTCACCCACTTTTCCCCATTTTCACCCACTTTTCCCCATTTTCACCCACTTTTCCCCATTTTCACCCACTTTTCCCCATTTTCACCCACTTTTCCCCATTTTCACCCACTTTTCCCCATTTTCACCCACTTTTCCCCATTTTCACCCACTTTTCCCCATTTTCACCCACTTTTCCCCATTTTCACCCACTTTTCCCCATTTTCACCCACTTTTCCCCATTTTCACCCACTTTTCCCCATTTTCACCCACTTTTCCCCATTTTCACCCACTTTTCCCCCTTTTCCCTGGTTTTCCCCAACCCCGAGTACTCCCAGCACTTCTGGATCTCTCCCCTTTTTTCCCCCCATTTTCCTTGTATTTCTCCCATTTCCCCCCGTTTTTTCTCCTTTTTTCCCATTTTTCCCCCATTTCTCCCCATTTTTTCCCCATTTCACCCTGTTTTCCCCGTTTTTCCCCAGCCCCGAGTACTCCCGGCACTTTTCCCGCCGGGACCTGCTGGCGTTCTCGGCGGAGCCGCTGCTGCTCTTCCCCACGCACTACACGGGGGAGCCCGGCTACGTCAGCGACACCGAGACCCCCCCGGAGCCCCCCGAGATCGGGGCCGGGCCGCAATTCCCGCGGGAATCCCGCAGCCCCCGGCCCCCGAGCCCCCCGGAGCCCCCCGAGATCGGGGCCGGGCCGGAATTCCCGCCGGAGCCCCGGAATTCCCAACCCCGGCACGACAGCGACGCCCGCGACGAGCTCTGAGCCCGAAACGCCCCCGGAACTCGGGATGGGGGAATTCCCACGGGAATCCTGGAATTCCCAATGGCAGAGCCCCCCGAAATCTGGGATGGGGGGAATTCCCACGGGAATCCTGGAATTCCCAATGGCAGAGCCCCCCAAAATCTGGGATGGGGGGAATTCCCACGGGAATCCTGGGATTCCCAGCCCTGGAGCACCCCTGAAATCTGGGATGGGGAAAAATTCCTGCAGGAATCCCGGAATTCCCAACCCCATAAATCTGGGGTGGGGAGGAATTCCCAGTGGAATCCTGGAATTCACATCCCTGGAGTCCCCTGAAATTTGGGATGCGGAGGAATTCCCACGGGAATCCTGGGATTTCCATCCCTGGAGCCCCCCAAAATTTGGGATGGGGAGGAATTCCCGTGGGAATCCTGGGATTCAGGACACCAGGACCACCAGAGCCCCCCGAAATTTGGGGTGACAGGAAGGAATTCCTGTGGGAATCCTGGAATTCCCAATGGCAGAGCCTCCCGAAATCTGGGATGGGGAAAAATTCCCAGTGGAATCCTGGGATTCCCAATGCCAGAGCCCCCTGAAATCTGGGATGGGGAGAATTCCCACGGGAATCCTGGAATTCCCAATGCCAGAGCCCCCCAATATTTGGGATGGGGAGGAATTCCCACGGGAATCCTGGAATTCAGGACACCAGAACCCCAAAACCCCCTGAAATTTGGGATGATGGGGAGGAATTCCCACGGGAATCCTGGAATTCCCAGCCCTGGAGGCCCCCAAAATTCGGGATGGGGAGGAATTTCCATGGGAATCCTGGAATTCAGGACACCAGGACCACCAGAGCCCCCCAAAATTTGGGATGACGGGGAGGAATTCCCACGGGAATCCTGGAATTCCCAATGCCAGAGCCCCCCAAAATTTGGGATGGGGAAAAATTCCCAGTGGAATCCTGGAATTCCCAGCCCCGGCATGGCACCCCCAGAGGCCCCCAAAAATATCCCCAAAATTCGGGATGGGGAGGAATTCCCAGAATTCCCATCCCCAGCACAACACCCAGAGCCCCCAAAATTTGGGATGGGGAAAAATTCCCGTGGGAATCCCAGAATTCCCAAAATTCCCAACCCCGGCAGGACAGCAGCGCCCGCGGCGAGCTCTGACCCCAAAATTTGGGGGATTTTTATTCCCAAATAAAGTTTTTATTTTTATTTTTCATACTGGTTCGGGTTTTTATTTCCCCTTTTATTCCCGAATAAAAGTTTTTATTTTTAATCCCAGTTTGGGGGTTTTTTTCCCCATTTTATTCCCAAATTTTTTTTTTTTTTTTAATTCCAGTAATCCCAGTTTGGGATTTTTTTTTCCCCCTCCCTTTTATTCCCAAATAAAAGTTTTAATTTATGTTTTTTAAGTTTTTATTTTTCAAGTTTTTATTTTTATTTTTAATCCCCCAAAATTCAGGAAAAAATCCCCCAAAATTCAGGGAAAATCCACCAAAAATTCAGGAAAAAATCCCCCAAAATTCAGGAAAATCCCCCCAAAATTCAGGGAAAATGCCCCAAAATTCAGGGAAAATGCCCCAAAATTCAGGGGAAATCCACCCACAATTCAGGGGGAAATTCCTCCAAAATTCAGGGAAAATCCTCCAAAAATTCAGGGGAAAATGCCCCAAAATTGAGGGAAAAATTCCCCAAAATTGAGGGAAAATCCACCCAAAATTGAGGGGAAAAATTCCCCAAAATTCAGGGAAAATCCCCCAAAATTGAGGGAAAATGCCCCAAAATTCCCAAATTTAATTCCCAAAGTTGGGCTCTGAAAGAAAAGGGAAACTGAGGCAGGGAGCCCTTGGAATGCCGGGAAAACGCCCCCAAAATCCCCGAATTTGGGACCCAGGAAAAGGGAAACTGAGGCACGAGGGGATTTTTTGGGAGAGTTTTGGGGGATTTGGGGTTTTTTTGGGGAGTTGGAATGTTCCTCTGGGGCATTTTTTGGGATATTTTTGGGGATTTTCAGGGATATTTGGGGGATCATTTTGGGTTATTTTGGGGCTGTTTTTGGGATGTTTTCAGGGATATTTTGGGATAATTTCGGGTTAATTTTAGGATATTTTTGGGGTGGTTTCAGGACATTTTTGGGGTGATTTGTGTGGATTTTGGGGCTCAGAGCTCGTCGTGCTC